CTCCAGACTGTACCCAGCAGCCGGGCGCTCTAGGACGTCCAAGGCTTCGAGAAAGACCCGACCTCAAAAACAAACAACAACAAAAAAGACTGCATCCTGCCCTGAGGGACAACTCAACACCTGCGTCCCATCTGCGCAGGGTGTTTGCCTGAGCCCGCCCACCTCGCCCCACCCCCATATCCTTTCCTGCAGGTGGGAGCTGGCCTGGCCTGCCTACCTGGTCTGGGAGCCATGGGGACAGACACACCCCTGGGTAAGCCTGGCTGGCAGCCAGGGACACCAAACCCACGTACCTGGGTGCCTTAGCGCCCTCATGGGGCCTGATCCAGCTTGGACAGGTACTGGGTCAGGTGACTGGTCAGACGCGACAGGGAGGTCAGCCCTGGGTGCGGTTGGCAACCTGGGGGTGTGTGTGTGGAAATCGGGGCCTGTGCGAGCGGCCTGGCTAGCTAAGCTTTTCCAAAGGGCTCTGGAGAGTGAGGACAGCTCACTAATTACTATCTAAATACTCGGGGCTCGGTCAGTGCATATTCACATGTTCCCAGGTGGTGTGAGGATTCCAGAACATTCTGTCACCCTCAAAGGAAGCCTCAATCCCCACACCACCACCCCAGGAAACACAGGCATGAAGTCTCCCTCTGGCACCCACAAAAATGCTGAGAGGTGACAGCCCCTGTACCTGTAACCCCAGCACTAGGGAAGCAGACACGGGAGGATGTCTGGGACCTACTGGCCAGCCAGCCTGGTCAGATCAGTGAACATCAAGTTCAGAGAGAGACCTCTCCAAAAAAAAAAAAGGTGGAGGGTCAGAGAGATGCTCAAGGGGGGTCACATCATTTGCTGCTAAGCCTGGCGACTGAAATGCAAGCCCTTGAAGTCACAGAAAGGTGGTGTCCTTCTTTCATCCTCATACTCAGGAGGCAGAGGTGGGTAGATCTCTGTGAGTCCCAGTCCAGCCTGATCTAAATAGTGAGACCCTGTCTCCCAAACTCAGTGTCATTAACACATTCTAAAAAGCATGCGTACGTACGTACGTAAGGTATAGCTCAGTGAGTACTTGCCTGGGGTGTGCAAAGGCCCTGGAGTAATCCATCCCTGTACTACAAGACAAGCAAGTTAAATACACACACACACACACACACACCCTACAGAAAACAGTCACAAAAAAAAAAAAAAAAATGAGCCAATGAGCCGGGCGGTGGTGGCGCACGCCTTTAATCCCAGCACTTGGGAGGCAGAGGCAGGCATATTTCTGAGTTCGAGGCCAGCCTGGTCTACAGAGTGAGTTCCAGGACAGCCAGGGCTACACAGAGAAACCCTGTCTCGAAAAACCAAAAAAAAAAAAAAAGAAAAGAAAAGAAAAGAAAAAGAAAACTGTCCACTGCAGTGGCCTCAGTCCTCCTAGTCCCAGTTTGCCCCCAGGAAGCCCTCAGTGGGGATCCCAGCAACAGGGAAACCGAACAGGACTGCAGGCTGGGGCTCACTGAGAAAGGAAGAAAGACACTGAGGTGAGAAGGGAAGGAGGAGGGACGCTGGGTCTACCACCACACTGGGGCTCCCTCCTGCACTTCCGGCTCTTTCTTGTGGAGTGTGGATCTGAGACAGCACACCTCCCTTGAAGTCCCAACCATGAAACACGGGGCTGCCCTCTCTCCTCACCATTGTCTTCCAGGCTCTTTGACTGAGTGACAGAGAGCATAGGTCCATGTAACCAAGGCTCTGAGAGCCCCCTCTCTGCCTGTGTACATGGCTCACAGGAGTCCACGTGGTAGAACAAAATGAGCAAAGACTGAAGCCACTGACATAGGAAGAGGGGATCCCCGTGTCTCCTCTGTGTGAGGAACCCAGAAGCGAGGACTGGGTAGCAAAGAGTCCTCAAGAGGCCAGTGATATGGCTAAGTAGGCGAAGGTGCTTCCAAACAAGTGTGAGCCTGAGCTCTGTATAACTCCCAGGAGTTGTCCTCTAATAAATAGACAATAAACATAATAGATAAACGTAATGAACAGGGGTTAGGCCAAAGACAGGAATGCACAGAAAGTTAAAAACAAAACAAAAAACAAAAACACTTGCTTCTCTTACAATGGACTCAAGTTCAGTTCCCAGCATTCACATCAGAGGCTCAAAACCACCTGTAATTTCACCTCCAGGGATCTGACGCCTGCTTCTGGCCTCTGCAGGCAGGCACTGTACAAAAGTGCAGACACACACGCACACACACACACACACACACACACTGAAAACACAAAGGATCTCAAAAGTTTCCCTGAGGACTGAGGAGGGACAGTAGGAGGACCAGCTGCCTAGGGACCCACCCAACCTGGGCCAGAGTCTTTGTAAGAAAATTCGACATTGCTCTGAAACATAGGTCAGGGTCAAGGTCCATCCACAGAGGACAGGCACGTAGTACCATGCTGGGATTATCTTGGTTTGTTTCCTGTGTATGCATGGAAGCCACTGGTGATCTGGTCATGGGTATTTGCCATGGTATTTTTTGAGGCAGGGTCTCTCACTGAAGGTAGAGCCCAAGCATTTCTCCAGGCTGTTTGGCTGGTGAGCCCAGGGGTCCTCCTCCCTCAATCTCCATGGTATTGAGGTTTCAGGAATACACTAGCTTTTTATGTGGGTGTTGGGGACCCACGATTGCACAGCAAAGCACTTCACGGACTAAATCAACTCCCCAGTCCCTGTTCGTTTTTGTTCCTCCACCTTCCAAGTGCTGTTTTGACAGGTATGTGCCACCAATGCTAGGTCCTACCTGGCTGTCTGGGAATTCTACCCAACTTAGCTGTAATCCACCTCTCCCAGGAGTAGTAGGATCTCCTTGTTTCATCTTGGTTCTCAGGACAGTCCAGGTGAGTACAGCAAGGCTGTAGGAAATGGGGTAACCTCAACCTAATCACTCCCTTGAAGGGGGCATGACAACATCAGGGGTAGTCCTGGAACTTCATGGGCTCCATCCGCTGCAGACTGAGCTGGCAGGAGAACCCTACTTCTTGGGGCTCAAAGGCAGCAGCAGTAAATAGACTTGTGGGATGGGCATGGTCACACTAACCCCAGCACCCAGGAGGAAGAGGCAGACATATCCATGAGTTTGAGGCCAGCCTGAGCTATATAGACACCTTGGCTGTCCTGAAATTGAAATCGGCAACAGATTTGTAGGCTGGAGCTCAGTGGCTAGAGTTCACCTATCCTGGGCTCCATTTTATCGCTTTGTACAGTGTTTGCAAGGCCATTCTCAGTAACATAGTGAGTTGGAGGCCAACCTGGGCTACATGAGACACTGGCTGAAACAGACATTGTCCAGCCTTTGGCCCACGATTCTGCTGAGATATGATAGCCTTTAATCTTTAAGGACAGGAAAACTGAGGCAGGCAGGGTGCCAGGCCTTCCTCCAGGGTCCTGAACTTTGAGACCTCAGCTGATGTTCCAGCAGAACTCCCTCTGCTATACCCCACCTGCTCAGGGAGTCAGAGTCCATGTGTGGGCACAGCAGAGGAACAGGCGGTGGCCCTGGGCAGGTCATTCAGTGAAGCTGGGTTCCTCCCTCAACAGCCTGTCCAGCAGCGCAGCACTGGCCCTATAGGTTCCTCCCTCCCCTGGAAACTGGCAGAAAACAGCCCCATGACCATCCAGTCTCTGGAGCCATGGCTATACGGGAATAGGTTGCACCCGTGCCCATAGCCACAAGGCCCGTGGCTGCAGGGCCCTGATGGCCTGTTCTGAAGAGCTAGGATACAGGGGGTAGCTGCCCGTCCACACACGGCTCACATCCGGGTTCTGTGCTGTTCCTGCACATGTATCTTCAGAGTGGGGCCCTGGGCTCTGGATGTGCTGAGATGTGTCCTTGACAGCCAGGGCCTCAAGTACCAGGTACTCCCAAGCTGAAGCTGCTGTGATCAGTGTTGTCACACTAAGCTACCTGGACAATTCCCTTTCCTGGCTTCCTGCCACTTAGGTAAGGCTAGTCCCTGAGCTCACCATGTAATCACTCAGGACAGAGCCTGATCCTCCAGCCTCCAAGTGCTTGGGATAACAGAGAAGTACTGCACTTGGTTCTTGGTTTATCAACTGGTTATGACCAGAGATCTCTCACTCTGTAGGCTGGTGTCAAACCTGTGGCAAACCTCCTGCCGCAGTTTTCCTAGTGTGCTGTGAGGCCAGAGTTGGGCATGGGTGTTCCTCTGTAGTAGTCCCTGGGGTTTGAGAGCCACCAGATGGGCCTTCCTTTGACAGAATGTCTCAAGCTGGAGCACATCTGAGCTCATCTGGCTGGCTCCTGAGCTTAGCAGACCGTGCACACAGCGAGTGCACACTCCACACATGCTCAGCACTCATGTTCCCAGGACCCAAACCCACACCTCCCGCTTGCCTGCACATGCATGGACCCTCGGACAGCCTCCTCAGCTGGAGCCCAGTCCAATCACATCTCCAAAGCTGTGGCTCAAATGCATGCGAGACATCTGGACAGCAGGTGGCCAGCCCTATACTGATACAGCAGGTGGGTGCAGAGGCCCATGACAGTTGGATGACAGGCTGGCCTCATCACTGGTAGCTGTGGCCAGGGAGGGGCTGGTGGGAAGTGAGGGGAGAGGGGCCACTGTAAGGTTCTTTAAGCCCAGCATGAGGTCAGCAGGGACCACCCTGGTTTGAACATAAGTTCCAGGGCAGGAGGGAGACTACTTTAGAACAAGGCCTCATCAGCTGCCACCAAGGCCACAGACTGCTGCCAGCCCAGGTGCCCCTGACCCTGCCTGTGAGTGAGAACGGCTGGGGGCCCTGGGTCCATCCCCAGCACCGGAGAGAGAGAGGGAGAATTAATTGGTCATAGGCCAACCTAGGCTACTGGGGTCCCAGTCTCAAAAAAAAAAAAAAGATTAACAGAGGCAGGTGGATCTCTTGAGTTCGAGGCCAGCCTGTTCTACAGAGCGAGTAACAGGATGGCCAGGGCTACAGAGCCCCTGACTCAAAAACCAAACAAAAAAGGCAAACACACACAAAGTCCAACATGTGATTGCACCATTCCTATGATGGGAGACATTCTCACTAGGTAGCCCAGGGTGGCCTAAAACCTGCCATTTTCCTGACTCAGCCTTCTCAGTATTTGGAGGTGTGAGGGATGGACCCCAGCTCAGGGCAGAGGTGGAGAGTAGGCATTCCCCTCCCCCACCACACTGGGCGCTTCCTAGGCAGCCCTAGGCAGTAGGGGATTGTCTTTAGGGAAGGCAACAGTGCCCCTGTACATGCATGCAGGAGCACCCAGCAGTGAGTAGACAGCACCTGCTTGGACCACCTAGCTGGAGCACGTGCAGTCCCACGTGGTGGCACTCTTGGGACAGCTGAAAAAGGAATACTTTTGTCATCCCTGAGAGGGGTCCCAGGTCTGCATTGGTGTGATCTCAGTGTTAGCCCACATGCCTCTTTAGGCTGCGGGACAGAAGGCCGATGGCCGAGACCGGCTCTGTCAGGGTGGACCGGGTGGGACCCTGGTGGGGTTGCTGCAGGCTGTGGGGAAACTCTTATCTAGTCTCATGACCCAGATCCACTGGGGTCTCTTCCGGGAGGGCAGCAGGCCGCTTCCTTTGAACTATGCTGACTCAGCTATGCTCTCTGGAGCCCACAGGAGCCCAGAGGGGTCCCCTGCTCCCACTCACCCCCACCCTCAGGAAAGAGGCTGCATGTGCATTGCAGGGGCTGCCTGTGGAGGGAGATGAGGAGGGACACGGCTCCCTCGTCCCTTGGCCGGCCCTTCTTCCACCTGCGGAGGGAGGTGACACAAGGGGCCAGGAGCACAGTGGCAGCTTTCTTTCTTTCTCGTTCTCCACTTTGTTTGGTTTTTCAAATGCATGGGCACAGGTCCCCTGCCACAACACACAGCATCACTGTCCCCAGAGGTGGCCACTGTGCCGACAGGGACAAGGACACAGACTGCTCGGTGATGGCTGTCACACTGTAGTACGCGTGGGTGTGCTGGGCTGCTTCAGCCGCAGGGTTCTGCACAGCCAGCCAGCGAAGTCCACTTCCTCCCCTTCAGAGCGCTTGATGAAGGCGTGGTTCTGAAAGATGCAGGGCATCAGTCACAGCCTGAGGCCCAGGTCTGCTCGGGTGGCCTGGCATTCTCTGATCCATCCAGGGATGCCCAGGCCAGACTCCTTTCAGAACAGTTAAAAGTCACCAGACTGTGACTGTGCCAGCCTGGGGCAGGATCTTCAAGGGAGGGGAGGCTGAGGCCTAGGACCCCACTGCGGACTCCTCGGCAGGGGAGACTTAGGAGGCCATGGCTGGGTCACAGGGCGCAAGGCCCCCGCCCCATTCCTCTATCTTGGGTGTCTAGGTTGTTTTGTTTTCCTTTTCGACAGGGTTTCTCTGTGTAGCCCTGGCTGTCCTGGCACTCACTTTGTAGACCAGGCTGGCCTCCAACTCACAAGACGTCACATCTCACTACCAAGGCACAGAGATCCACCTGGCGCTGCCTTCTTCCCGAGGGCTGGGACTGAAGGTGTGCAAGAGCACCACCCAGCTGCTTCTGGTCCTCTGAGGCACTGCTCACGTAGCCAAGGCTGGCCTCAAAATTTTGACCTTCTTGCCTCAGTGCCCAGAGTGCTGGGAAGATGGGTGTGTGCCTAGGCTGACCTCCTGAGTACTGGCATGGCGGCAGGCACTACTGCACTCAGCTAGGAGGCACCTGTGTCCCTGGGCCTCTGCGGTGAAGCAGGGGTGCACACATCTGTGCCTAGCACAGCTTGCTTTCTTAGGGACCTAAAAAGTAGACAGATGGTGCTTAAACCAGATTAGGTCTGTCCAGGAAGGGGTGGGGGGTGGGGTGCTAAGGCCTGCCCATAAGTCTCTGGGCTCTGCTGGTCCCACCTTGTGGGTGGAGGGCTTTCAGGGTACAGGCCTACAAGTGTTTCATGTCACACAATCCCCAGCCTCACAGGTGGCCTGAGCCCTTGGTGGCTGTGGAGGACCCAGAGGCGGCAGTGAAGCACTCTCACCTCTGCCCCACTTCTGGCACCATATGGCCAAGACTCTGGTCGTGCGCGCATGCTCGCAGCCCAGACCCTGGCCCGGGAGACCCCGCACTCACCATGAGTAGCTTCAGATCTGCGCGCTCTGCGGGGTTCTTAATGAGACTGGGGAGGAGAAGACACAGAGGTCACTGGGGAGCCGGGCTCAGGAGCGGCTGGAGTGCTCACCAGGAGCATTTCAGTTTTTACATTTTGGGTGACAGGGTCTTCTGTATCCCAGGCTGACCTTGAACTCACTCCAGAATGCTGGGATGTCAGGAGTGCACCTCTAGGCCCTGTACCCTCACAACTAAACTGCTAAATTCTTAGTGAATTAATGAACTAAAAGGGAGATTGTCCATCTCATGGAGAAGACCCTGGTGGGAGGCTGATACAAGGGGCTACACCTCACTACCATGCACAGATGGTGCCTTCTGGGACATACACATGGCCTGCCTCCTGGCCCCATGCTCCAGAAGCACCACACAGCAAGTGACTATCCGTCAAGGGGCTGGGGAGTCCATCAGCTCAGCTACCTCGCACCCCATGTCCACTGGGTGGGAGCTCGGGACACAGCTCGGCCATGCATGGACCCTCAGTCAGCAGGTGATAGCACCCAGCTGTGTGATTCTGGGGGATACTTTGACCTCTGACTGCACACGGTGGTTCGGGAACCCAGAGCTAGAGTGTGGGGCTGCCCCACCCATCCCATGGGCCCATCTCACCATTTATTCACAAACTCCTGGAAGTCTGAGCTGAACACTCGACTCGGCAGCTTGGGAGGTGGCTGTGGAGGACAGGGAGGGACCACTTAGGTGGCTGCAGGAATTGCTGGTCACCCCGTCAATTGGCCGGGCGCCTCCAGTTCAGCTTTTGCCAACACTATCAAGTGGGTGGGGACGCCTGTGGTACAGGGCAGAGCCCTTCCTGTGACAGTGGCTCCAGGACTTCCTGGGAGAAGTGCTGGCTGAGCTGGAGTGTCAATGCCACAAACAGTGGCAGCCCTGTCCCAGGCCACAAAGGCCATCTTCTGCCAGTGTTCTCCAGCCTGGGCACAGCCATGCACACTCACACGTGACCTTGGCTTCCTTCTGGAGACCTGCTGGGATTGGTTGTTGTTCTGCTTCTGGCTGCTTTTGGGTCAGGGTCTCACACTGTAGCTAAGACTGTTTTAGAAGTTACTTTGTGACTCATCTCAAGGCAGTCCTGCCTCAGCCTCTGACACAAGGGTACAGGCGGGAATTAAGTCTGCCCTAGGAGCCACCTTCTGTGCCTGTGGACATGACCTAGCCCTCATCTCACTGGAGGATTCTAGGCAGGAGCACTCACATGCCTTCAGCCCTCGTCCTATGGAGCCAGCCACAGTACTAGCCCAGGCTGGAGCCAGCCACAATCCTAGCCTAGGCTGGCCCACACTGACCTCAACTCAAGCTTCCTGCCTGAGCTGTTGAGAAGCGTGGGTCACAAGCATGATGAAGATGCCACATGGCTTTCTCCTGAATGGGGACGGCAGAGGAGCAGCCTGCAGCAGCCCCTCCCCCAGGAAATACCCAGGGTGGGCTGGACGGCTCCCTGAGAGAAGTACCTGAAGGCCAAGGGCACACACCTCGTTCACTATGTAGTCCAGCAGTTCAAAGATGGCCATGGCTGGTCGGCTATCCATCCCATGACCTATGAGATAGTACAGAAACACATGGACTATGAGTGGGGACACAGATCTTAGAGGGGACCCTGGTCCTTCTGCTAGGACTCACTTCTGCACTCTCACAGGCTGGAGGATGCTTTGCAGGTTGGGGAGGGGACTGGCAACTCAGCAGGGACACCAATGTGACCTCACAGAGCAGCTGCTGGGGAACTGGAACAGGTGGAGGACGACCCCTGCCCAAGGTCCTGGTGGCCAGCAGCTGAGCTGTGCCAGTTGCTCATCTTGTCATGGGCTGCTTTGGGACTTAGGCAAGAAAGGCAGTAGCCAGTGAGCTGGCCTGGTGTCACCACCACAGCTTGCCAAAGGAGTGCGGCCATCTGAGGACCATGTCCTGAGAGCTGGTGCCAGGGTGAGCAGCCCTAGTGGGGCACAGGGTGGGGAGGGCTCTCTGCTCTTTAAAGGCATGGGAGGCGCACACCATGCACTGAGATACACAGGGAATGAGCCCAGCCACAGGCAGGGACCTCCAAGACATGGTACCTGGTGAGACCCAGACACAAAGTTACACAGTGTGGACTCCAGGTCAGGAAATGTCCAGAGCAGGAGAAAGGTGTGTGCATGTGCGTATGTGTGTGTGCGCGCGCACGCGTGCATTCAGGGTGTGGGGCTGGGGAGCAGAGCAGGTGACAGCACCCGTGGATGGGACAGGACTCCTTTAGGAGTGGCTGAATGTTCAAGAACCAGACAGAGGTCACAGACACTCTCGTCTGGGATGTGCTGACCAGTGGACTACAGGGCTTCCATGAGGCAAAAGGCAGTGTTTATGTTGTGTCTGCACTTATAGAGTCTAGGGGCTCTGTCCCATACCAGGACCCTGTCCCTGACCCTCGGTGGCGAAGGCAGCCACTCCAAGGGTTGGATTGTCTCCCCAGGTCCCCTGAACACTAGTTCCCCTCCATTCTGCACTTCCTGTGCTGCCAAGGCCCCAGGGATGTCACCAGGTTACCTGCATCTGAGGCTTCCTGGACGGCAGGCTACAGATGTGCAGGGTGCAGGCTGTGGCTGGTCCCCTTCGTACCCAACCCCTATTTACACATTTTCCCGTGGAAGAGCCCGGGAAACCCAGCAGCCGGCCATGGCCTGACCTAGAGTGGAGTTTCGGGGCCTTGCAGCTGGCAGCAACAGGTGCAAGCCTAGGACCATCTGAGGACTGCTGACCACAGCAAGCCCTGTCCAGGGGAGAGCTGGCAGAGACAGGGCCATCCCTGCAGCTGATTCCCCGACCCGTCCCTCTCCAGCTAGCTGTAATGTCCCATACCACTGATGGGGCGTCCAGGGGGCCTGGGCCGTGGTGAGACACTATGGGGCTCTCCATCTGCCCCATCCACCACAGGCCAGCCAAAGCTGGTCTCTAGTTCCTTGGCATCAGGTGGGGGGATGGGGTACCTCCCGATGGCTAGCTCCACCAGGGACAGCCCCATGCTCCAGATGTCCGACTGCACAGAGTAGTGGGTGCCCTGCAGCCGCTCTGGCTGTCAAAGAACAGAACACAGCTGGGGTTAGTAGCAAACAGCATAGGGCCACACACAAGCACAGACAGAGCCCACTGAGGACGTGTGTTCAGAGGGCGAGGATACTCACAGACATGTAGGAGCGTGTCCCTACAAATGAGTTGGCCATGGAGTCGATCAGCTGGCCGCTCACCCCGAAGTCACACAGCTTAATCTCCCCACGAGAGTTCACCAGAATGTTGGAGGGCTTCACATCTGCAGACAGTGCCGGGGTGAGGCTGCACCCGTCGCGTCCCACCCACACCAGCCTGAGCCCGCTTACCTCTATGCATGATCTGATGCTTCTCTCGGAGGTATGCCAGGCCCCGGAGCACCTATAGGGAAGTCAGAGCTGGGTAGCCTGTGTGTCCAGGGCAGCAGGGCTAGGCTGTGATGAGCCTCCCCAGACACAGGGTAGTGCCACGGCAGGCATGTGACATATACGTCCCCAAGTCCCACACAGAAACCTGCAGCAAGCACATGGTCACTGTGTTTCAAAGTGAGAGCCGCCTCAAACTCACTGCCATCCCAAGCTGCCTCGCCCCAGCTGCTGAGCTGACAGGCATGTGCTACTGCACCTGGAATGTTTTATTTCCTCCTTTAAGACAGGATCTCAGTATACTGCCCTAGCTCACCCACAACTCACTGTGCAGACCAGGCTAGTCTTGAACTCAAGAGACCAACCTGTCCGTCTCCTGGGTGCTGGGTAGGTGCACACACCACCATGTCCATCTCCTGGGTGCTGGGTGGGTACACACACCACCATGTCCAGCCCCACTACAGTCATTTTACACAGGGAAGGAAGCAGTGCTCACAGACCACAGGCCATGGTGGGACCGGCACAGGACCTCAAGTGGATGGGGACGTGATTTGCTTAATCTCCCAAGAAGGAGCAGCAGCCAACAAACTTACCGCAATGCTGACCTTCCCCAAGATATCCTCAGGAATCCGCTTGGCCTCCTTCAGTACCTGGTCCAGTGAGCCACCGTCCTGCATGCAGAGATGACAGCAGCTGGCAGCTGGCTTTGTCAAGAAGCCCAACCCAAACCTCAGGCAGGCCAAGCTGTCAGCCTCCAGCCGCCCTTGCTCTCCTGGTTCCTAAGCACTGTGTGGAATGGGAGGCTGCGGAGCTGAGCCCAAGTGACAGAGCCTGTCAAGAGCCAGCTCCTCCCACCAAGGACTCTGAGGAAAAGGAGCAACACAGGAGGTCCTTGAGCAGGACCAGACAGGACTGGCTCACAGTTAGTTCTCCTGGGGTAGGCTGAGGACCAGACCTGAAGCCCAAGGGCTTGTACTCCACAGAAGGGCATGAGGTGGCCCACAGGTCACCACCCTGGTTCACCTAGGGTGTGGTCCTGATTCTACTTGACAGATGAGGAAATACTGTCCTGACACCAGCTGGGCCAGTCATCTCCTGGAGACTAGGAGACTAGGCAGTCACTGCCAGTGACACCTGCGTAGCTTTCTGACCTGACAGAAAGCAGGACCTCAGGAGTTAAGGTCACTGGAATCCTGTGTTTTATTCCCCTCTGCCCCTTCCTTGGTTATTAGAGACAGGGTTTCACTGTGTAGCACTGGCTGTCCTGGAACTTGCTTTGTAGAGCAGGCTAGCCTTGAAACCAGTGATCCATTGCCTCTGTCTGCCTCCCAAGTGCTGGGTTAAAGGCATGCACTACCATGGTCCAGCTCTATGTTTTGTTCTTATGGACAGAGACTGGAGGGAACACTGGCTGGGCACTAGGGAAGGACAGCAAGGTCATTACTTCTCTTAGGTCACACTGGAGCCTGCAGGATGCTGAGCAGTCTGCCTGGCCTCCCCCAACTCCACCCCAGGAGTTCCTGGGTGGGACAGCAACAGGCATCTCAGATTTGGCTGAGTTTCTGGTGGGGTCCTCTCCTGAGTTGATCCTGGGTGATCTTAGCCAGGTCATAGTGTCCCAGGGCAAAATGGAGCACTGAGGTGCTGCTGGCCAGGCCAGTCCCTGCACACGCCTCCAGCGCCCTAGAAACTGCTCACTACCCAGAGAGCATCAACACATGTTCTTATGGAGATCCAGACACAGCCAGCCAGGCTGAGCCCCTGGAACCTCCTGCTCACCCTGCCATGGGCACCCTGCGAAGGACAGTGTGACGCCAGCAGGCTCCTAACAGTGTCCTCACTTAAGGACACCCAGCAGCGCTTCTTCCTTTCTGTGCTAACTGGGCCTGAGTGTGGCAGTAGGCAGCGGGTAGGGCCTCAAGAGGGTGGATGAGGACAGCAGGGCCCCAGCTTCTCTCTCCTCTTCTCCTTGGCTTACAGATGTAGGCTGAGCAGTTCTGTCCCCCAGGAGCCTTTTTACAAGCTGGGGACTGGAACATTCCAGATCAGTGACAAGGCCCTGTGCACACAAGCTTTAAGACAGAGACTAGAGTTCCTATTAGCCCAGGGCAGGCCGCAGGCATAGACACAGCTATGGCCTGGGTGTCATCTTGCATTTCTGAGTCTTGTTGAGTGTGGCCCAACAAAGCTGCACCAACTGGCAACCACTGCATCTTCTTGCTCTTGAGTGACAGGTTCTCGGGCGGGGTGAGGGGATAGGGGCTGCCTAACATAAGCCAATAATAGCAAGAGAAGAGAGGCCACTGCTGCCTGAACCCAAGATCTGCAGAACCCTAAGACTGGGGGCAGTGCTGACGGTGTGGTCACTCTGGAGTCAAACACACTCCTGTTTCTTTGTCATCCTCTACAGGAAACTGAAAGTGGACCAGGGGTAGGACCAGCTAAAAGGACACCCAACTCCCCACCCCCAAGGGTAAGCCTTCCTCCCAGGACAAGCCCATACCAGGTAGCCTATGACTTAAACCCAGACTGCACCAGCCAGCAGGACAGAGTGGCCATCTTTTTCTTGTTACTGAGACAGATGAGAGGATGGTGGACACGTGCCATTGCCTGGCTCAGTTTTGTCTTGACATAGAGCCTTGCTAGGTAGCTCAAGCTGGCCTCAAATTGAAGGCAATCCCGTTGCCTCTGGGAACTTCCTGTCCCAGCACAGTTAGCCATAAAGGACTCCCATGTCTCTTGTAGCTCAGCCCCTAGCTACTCTGGCAATGAGAGTCATGTACCTCAGACCAGAGTCCCCTGTCTGCAGCGACCAGGAGGCTTGTGACCCAATGGTCACACACCTATGAAGGGACTGGAGGGAGCCATACACTCAGTGTCTACTTATCCCTGAGGCAAGTACAGTAGGCTCGAGGGAGAGGCAGGACCACAGCTTGGTGTGAGGAGGCCCTCACCATGTGCATCTTTCTCAAATGCATTTCCTGCTTCCCATACCCAAATGGTCTGCAGCTCAGTATACTGGCAAAGCACAGTTGAGGACCACAGCAGCTGCCAAGCCTTCTGGAGAGTTGCAGGGTTCTTGCACCTGGCTCAGCAGGTTGGGGTCTCTTTTTGGCCCAAATTCTCCATCCTGCCCAACTCTGGAGACCCAGACTGTTATCTAGAGAGCGAGGTGTGCAGCTCGTATCTGAAGTTGGGGGCCCACGGGCCTGGCTGCATCCCTCCGGCTCAGAGCTTAGCAACAGCAGCGAACAGGAGGCCACAGCCCACAGTGGGCACATGCTTACTGTGGGCCCCAGATGCACGGCACACACCACTGGTCCACACAGCTGCAGCCGGCTGGCCGGGTGCCATGGATGAGGAGGGACGGAGCAGGAGCGGGCCTCACCATGTGCTCCATGCAGATGCTGATCTCGCCGTCACTGTAGAAGGCCCCGTAGAAACCCACGATGTAGGGGGAGTTGCACTGGTGCAGCACCTGCAGCTCCCGGATGATCTGGTTGCGGACGGCTGGCTTGATCTCCAGGTGGATCAGCTACAGGAAGGAAGAGGCTGCTCAAGAGGACGGGCACATGGCCAGCAGGCGCCACAGACCCAGTCCTGGGCATATCCCCAAGAGATGGGAAGCCCCAGACAGTGGATCTGTGGGTGACAGAGATGGCTAGTGTGACAGAGCATGGTGATGCAATGTTTTCACTTTTTCAGTAAAACTGGTTTAAAAATGAAGATTTTCAAAGAGGAATGTAACTATTCTATTCTGGGGGGAAAAGACACATCAAGCTATTCAATGCACTCAGGCAGCATCAGCACCCCAGACCCTTCCTCCAGGACCACCATTCCCACACAAGTCCTTGGTGGCCACTCAGGACTACTCTAAGCTCTGCCCGAGCAGTGTCACCCTCCACTCACTATCCTTTCAGAGAGAAGGCCACACAGAGGAGGCACTGTGAGAGAGCAACCAGAACCCACAAGCCCGGAACCTGGCGCCCCACGGGGAGCAGCTGTGGCCAGGCCTGTGGAGGCCGTAGAGCAGAGCCATGCCTCTAGACCTACCAGGTGAGACCAGATGTCACCCCCAGAGACTGCTGGAGCTCTGCAGGAGGCATGGGTAGAGCCTGCAAGAGAGGCCAGGTTCACAGCCAGCACCAGGAAAAACGAAACGAGGCCCACTGCTACTCTGCTGTAGCCCATGGGCACGTGGGCAGCCTGGAGACAGAGGTGCTCTCTGCATGGGCAAGGCAGGGGTCTGAGGTGGAAACCCCTGCTAGGGGCCTACACAGAAACCACAGCTAGGGGTCCTGGTGTAACTGCTGAGCAGGAAGGGTGGTCAGGGCAGGCTGGAGGCCTTTCCACAAAAAGGACACAGAGCCACCCAGGGCGAGTACTGGGGCATGAAGGAGCCGGCTGGGCTCAGGACAGGCAACAGGCTTAGGAAGTGTTCCTGTAGCCTTGTGGTCCTGCAAAGATCCAGCCCCGACCCTGCCGTCAGTTTTCAATCCTGCTGGTCCTGGACAAGGTTCCCAGCAGGCCGAGGACACATCCCATGTGTCATGTGTCTTCTTCCCCAGGTCACACACTGGCTCTCACACCACAAAGAGTCTGGTGTAACTTTTATTCTTTCAAAGCCTACTTGTAATGATGCGCTAACATCCCTGCTAGCCCACCACCCACGAGAGGCAGTGGGAAAGAGGATATAGGAGAAGTGGACCTGTTTGAAAGGTTCTTTGAAGCAATCCCGCATGTTGTCAGGAAATCGACAGTCTGGATCACAGGTCAGCAGCAGCTTGGTCCATTCACAGTTCACAGTACACCAGCAGTCCCGGTCGGTAGAGCAGCAAGCACGAATCAGCAGTGCTGGCCTAACTTAGCAGTCAGCCAGGCCTCAGTCTCAGCATGAGTCAGCAGCAGGGACCAGGAGACGTTCTCGGCTGTGCCTCTCTCGGAAGTGAAGAGCAGTGAAGATACGAGACGACCACTGCACAGAGACCACCACTGCACAGCTCGCTCTACCAACAAGCCCTCTCCTAATCCGTTGGGTCCTACTCCCTCCAAACATCACGTATCGCCCATGAGTCTTGCCTCAGTGCGTCAGTCTGTCTCAGCTGATGTCACTCTGCTGCCCAAGTCCAAGGAAGCAGCAGGAAGCCGTGCACCCCACCTGAAGGTTTTGGTGCGCTTCTCTCTGAGTCCTGACAAACGGAGCAACTCTGCCATGTTTCTCTTTTGTCTGCTTCAACAAACTGTCCCTTCATGACCCCGCCTCAGCCTTTCACACCTGTGCCTGCTTCAGGACAACACCCCTTCATGTGTTTGCCCAGCAAAACACCATCCGACACAACCGACTTTCCAAAGAACCCTAAGTTTCCACTTCAGTCTGGTGCAGAAGTACTGCATCTGGGGACTCTTCCGAATAGGCAGGCAGGCAGTGCCTGCTGTCCACAGGCACCATTTCATTGGAAACCAACCATCTAGGTACTCTTGCCCTCAAAGCCACAGAGCAGGCTGCGGAGCTGGCTCAGGAGTTACGAGCACTTGCAGCACTTTCAGGGACCAGAGAATGTTTCTGGTCCCAAACGTGCTGCTCACAACCATCTGGAGCTCCACCTGCGGAGCCAGCACTTCTCGCCCCTGGGCACCCACAGACACACTTTTTAAAGCACTTCTCGCCCCTGGGCACCCATAGACACACTTTATTTTTTTTAAAAACTCAAATCATAGACTGGAGAGATGCCTCAGTGGTTAAGAGCACTGGCTGCTCTGCCAAAGGTCCCGAGTTCAATCCCCAGCACCCACATGGTAGCTCACAACCATCTATACTGGGATCCAAGGCCCTCTTCTGGCCTGCAGGGATAGATACAGATAAAGCACTCACATACATTAAAAAACAAATCTTAAAATGTGTACAAAAGTAAAAACCACAAAACAGAGCCCAGACTGGAGACCCACATCTGATGAGCACCCTAAGGAGACTGAGGCAGGGGGATTAGGAGGTCCAGGCCGGCAGAACAACAGAGGAAGGTCGTTTCTGTGTGACGCAGTGGCACACATTTATCCCAGCACTCAAGACTCAGGGCAGGAGAATCTCTGTGAGTGTGAGGCCAGCCTGGTCTACAGAGTGAGTTCTAGGATAACCATGGCTATCTAATAAGACTCTGTTTCAAAAGAGATCTTGCCTCACACAATAGAAACAATATTTCCACACAAAGGTTGAGTGTCTGTCACATGAGAGCCACACACATTCTAAAACCCCAAATGCTCAAACAGCCCTAGCACAGTAGCCCAGACTGGCTTGAACCTACCTTCTGTGCCTGGGCCCCCCGTGCTCCACAGACTTCACAACTGTGACAAGAGCACACCTCTCCTGCCTCCTGCCAGGAACTCTGTTTGGACATGGGCCCGTATGGTCGAACTGCATTCCCTGGTCCCCACATAACCAGGCATGTGGGGGTCCAGGTCTGCTCTGAAAACCTTGGGCAAGTCACAGGCAAGTGTGGGCAGTAAGCGAACGTGTCAGTGTGCTGGACCCCTGGGAGCCTGGAGCGCACCAGGGAGCCAGCCAGGGCAACGGGGATGGATGTCTCTTTCCATGCTGAGCCTGGAGGAGGGACTCACTAGGCCGACACTTATCTGCCTCATCCAGAAACTTCTCTGCTACTTCCTTACTCCTGCAGGGTGCAGACTAGCAGCTGAGGGCCACTTGGTTGGCAGTGTGTGGCTCCGGTCTCTTGGCCCACTTCTGTCTCCAGCAGTCTAAGCATGGTGGTCACCTTGTACAGGTCCTGGACACTTGGATCTGTGTGAGACACCTGGACTGACCCTTGCATGGACCTGACTGCAGGTCTCTGTGTGTCCACTGCTGCTAGTGGAGCCAGCCTGTGAGCAGGACCATCCTCCTCTATCAGGGAGATGTTGACATGGGGTGCAAAGGCTGGAAGATACCACAACAGGCTCTGAAGACTCTGCCTCTGACAAACACCATGGCAACCTGTCCAGAGCCTGGGCCAGAGGGCACAGATGTATCCCAGAGCGTGTAATCCTAATCCAGCTGCATCCTTGCTCTCACTGTGCTGTCAGCCTGTCACTAGTTTCCAACAATCACACACAGGTAAGCAGTTCTGTGCACGGTGCCCTTGTCAGGGAGAAGTTGGCACGGAGGTGTGGCCTTCAGGCTGCACAAGCTTTGGGCAAAAACACTACTTGCTGTAGAGACCCAGCTTCTAGCCCAGGTGTGCTACAGCCCCACACAAGTTCTGCTGACCATGCCAGGCTCAAGCCAAGGGGCCTGGGAGTGAGGGTCAAAGATGTCACTAGAGGTTGGACCAGTCACAAAAAGCAAAAAAGGGAGTGGACACGCTGGGCCTCCTATCCTGTCTGTCCACTGCTGCAGACAATCACTCACACGTGGCAGAGCAGGGCATATACAACTCTCAGTGTCACTCCATCAGGAGTGCTCATACTCCATCAGACTTGTGCTGAGGCTCAGGTCCCACACAATCGCCTCCTCTGTTGCAGCCAGCATGTCTCAGCTGCCTGGAAGATGAGAGGGAGATCCTGGGTGACTCGGGTCCCCTTTCTGCCCTCTGAATGTCACAGAAGCGTTCTGCATGAGGTGGGTAGAGATTCCAGGACGCCAAGGCTGGAATCTTCAGGGCCAGCAGAAGACTCTGGGCGGGGATGAGGTGGCTCCCCTTGCTCAACGGCCGACTAGAGACTTCAAGAAAGGTCAGGGGTGTCGACACATCAGCACCCTGAGGTGCAGGTGTCACCATTGACAGTGTCCTTATTTCATATTGAGGGGACTCTTGGCATTAAGGGGAAAAAGCCAGCAGGCAGGCAGGGTCCATTCAGCTGGCTGGAATCCTGCAGGTTGGGGATCTTCATCTACTTGCCGGATCACTGCTGCCCAGCGTGCACACACACCAGCGTCCTGTATGCACACACGTGGGCCTCCTGGAGCCCACATATACCACCCTCCTTGTGGCTGGAATGGGAACCTGCAAAGCAGTAAGCTTTCAAATCAAAGAAAAGCAGGTGACCACTCTGACAGGGTGGCCTCATCCAATCGGCAGAAGGTAGAAAGCCCTAACACTGCTGCCAGGTAGCCTTCAGGACTCCTAAGGCTTCAGCAAGCCTGTCTTCCCTGACCACTTACCAACTACTGGGCAAACCCACCATCGCAGGTGCCTGCTCTTTCTCAGCAGAGCCTGCCCAGAGTGCTGATACAGGGAATCGATCCCCAGCACCACTCCAGACAGAGGCAAGCTCCCTGCTATGTGCATATTCCCACATCACTCTTGCTTCTCTGGAGACCAAGGACTTGGTTTATTGTTTGTTTGGTTTTTTTTCCATGCTCAGTCTCAGGTAGCCCAGGCTGGCCTTGGACTCAGTATATAGCTGAGGATGACTTTGTACTTTTGTTCCTCCTGGGACAACTGGCACACACTACATGCCTGGTTTACATAGTACTGGGTATGGAACCCAGGGCTTTGTGTGTGCCAGGCCAGCACTCTGCTCACTGAGCCAAGACCGGCCTGGCAGATCACCACAGAGTGACAGACATGCATGGCCTTTCTCTAGCTTGTCATCAGTGGCTCACGGACCAGCCTGGCCAGAGTTTTGTCTTGGATGGGAAGCGCATTTGGTGCACGCCAGGCTAGAACTCAACAGTGTCCCACATCCCTGCCAGAGAATCCGGCAGACGCAGGAATCTCGGTGAATTCCAGGCCTTCACAGTAAGACCCTGACCCAGCATCATATGACCAGCCACAGAAGAAGAAGACAGGACAAATGCCCACCCTGACCTTCTCACCTTTCTGGCCATGATGAGGCCTGATGGCCTATGCCGGGCCTTTGTGACCACGCCGCCATTGCCAGCACCCAGCTCTGAGATCCTCTCAAAGTCATCGTCCTTGAGCTCACCGACCTTAGCCTTCTGGGTAAGGAAAGCCTCCAGCCGCTTCCTCTGCTGTTCATCCAGGTCCAGCTCTTCCAGTTTCTTCTGGAGGTCCACCAGGTTTGCCCTACAGCACCAAGAGCAGAGGATGAGTCAAGGACCTGAACCCCATGTCTGTGCTCCAAGATCCTTCCTCATCACGTAGGAAAGGGACATGCTACTAGATAGAGGCTGGGTCCCCAGGCATGGAGGAATCATGACAAACTGACAAACTGCCTCAGAGAACCCGCAGTATGTCCAGACTACATGAAGACGCGGAGGGGCAGAGGCCAGGTGCACCAAGGCCTAGGCCAGGATCTTGTCTTTACTGGGGGCATTTTGAGTAGCTTTGGAGGCAAGAACCAGTCCTAAGAGGGAGGGGACCAAAGTGGCAGCAGCCATGCCTGGGATCTAATTGTGTGTGTGATTATGCTAATCACAGCTGAAGCCACCCACACACTAGGCACACCCATATCCAGCCCCTCACTGGGGGATTCCAGGCAGGGGGTCTCTCCTTTAGGACAGGGTCTAAGAGTTACCCAGACTACTCCTGGGCATACTTTGTTTGGCTTGAACTACTGATCTCTCTGCCTCAGCTGCATGGGCTTGCCTTTTATAATGAAGAAACCCGTTGCCACCTCTACCTTCATCCAAGGAGGTAAGGCCCTCAGACAAGCCGTGCTTGCACACATTGCGTGAGCCCGCTAGCATGAGAATCTACTAGTCATCCTTACGGGAGCCCAGGCTGTATTGTACGTAGTAGCCCAGGCTGTACTGTACATAGTAGCCCTGCAGCAGCTCAGCACCTCCTGGCTGTTCCTCCTTCTTGTCTTCAGCTTCTGGGAAGCACCTAAGCCCTCCCACGGCTCCTAGTGGTGGTTCTAACCCATACGCTTTGGCTAGTAGCATGCAACCTCCAAGGCCCAGCTTCAGGACACGACACCCCCTTCTCTGACATTTTTCACCATGGGCTCCAGTTTCTTAGATACTCCCCCCAACGCCTCAGGTCCCCCACACCACACTTTTCCCCATTCTTTCCTGGGACAGGAGCCAGGCCGTCTTTATGCACTCTGCGGCCCTCAACAGCTGCCCTCAGACTGAGGCACTGTGCGAAGTTCTTCCATCACGCTGACAGTCCCACAGAGGGGCGCTCGCCCAGGCTTTCCTGACAGACACCAGCCTCCCTGGTCTGCTATCCTCCCCTGGGACACCCCTTTCCACCTCAGGAAGCCCAGCCTTCCCGTCTCCTCCCAGAAAACCCTTATACCCAACCTTATTTGATGAGCTGTCCTGACTTGACCCTCTTCCAGAAATGCCTTGTACCCAACTGCACCCCTCGACCCCTCATCCCACCCCACCAGAGTGAGTCAGTTACCCCCACACCCACCTCCAAGGGCTCTGTCCACTTCCCACCAGGTCGCCATGCCCCGCCCATGCCAGGCTCTCCCCCGCAGTGCCCTCACATCCCCTTGGCTCCTTTGACAGTTCTTTCCCTCTGCCCCTGCAAGGGCAGCCTTGCCTCCCGGGCTTCGGCCAGACACGGCATGCCTTAAAGTGCTCCACTCGCCTGGCCCAGCCCTAAGCTACCGTCACGCCGGAATGCCGCACGGCGCCCCTGACTGTCCTGGCCACCTTCAGAACCCCTTCTTTCTTGGGTCTCCAATTGCCCTGGCTCTTTTCAGGACCCTCTCCTTACTTAGCTCAGGGCGTACCTCTCTCTACCTCCCCTTCCTCTGCCCCCTCAGTTTCCCCTCAACCGCAGAGATTTTCCCGCAGAGCTATCTTCTCAGACTCCGTACCTAGTCCCCCATCCCGGCCTCAGCAGGGCCACTCCCCGACCACATCAAGGCCCCGCCCCTCTGCGCTCACAGGCCTCGGGCTCTCACCTCAGGCCCCGCCCCTCTGCGCTCACAGGCTTCGGGCTCTCACCTCAGGCCCCGCCCCTCTGCGCTCACAGGCCTCGGGCTCTCACCTCAGGCCCCGCCCCTCTGTGCTCACAGGCCTCGGGCTCTCACCTCAGGCCCCGCCCCTCAGCGCTCACAGACCTCGGGGTCTCACCTCAGGCCCCGCCCCTCTGCGCTCACAGGCCTCGGGCTCTC